ACTATAAAACATTGAAATAGTTAAATAAGATCTAAATAAGTCAAGAGATGCACCTCATTCATGGGTTGGGATACTCCATATTGTTGAGATGCCAATTCTTCCAGATAGGTCACTATGCAATCCCAATCAAAATTGAAAAGATCTAACCAAAGCAGTTCTGAAAAAGAAGAATAAATTTGGAGTGCTAACACTACAGTGTAGTATTGGTATCAAGATAGAGAAAATGTTTATTAGAACAGAATAGAGGGTCCAGAAATAGACCCACAAACAAACAGACAACTGATTTTCTATAAAAGTAAGACTCAGTGGAGAAAGGATAGTTCAACTCAGTGTTTGGTCAGAGGTTATGTTTAACCCCCTTGTGCCAGTGAGGCTACCCCCCTGTGTTGATGGATCTGTGTGCAGCCTTGGGAATGCTGTCCTGTCTGCCCCATGACCTGCTCTGACTGCTCCTGGGTAGATACAGCCTAGAGCTTGTGCACAGCCTTCCCGACTCCCACCGTTGACTATAATCCCAGGAGGGCTTTCTTGGCTGTCCCTGGTTCTCTATATTAAATTTCTGCCTACTGTGCCATTCTGCTTGTATCAGAGCTCCGGGCCTCTCCTTAATTGTTTTTCATCAGAGATTTCCATTTTTTTCGATAATGCTCTTAGACGTGAGGTTCTCTATACTCGGTTACACGTAGACTCAGTCCCCTCAGGCAGAGTCATGGATCTCTTTGTCCTTAGGATGTGCTTTTCCCCCTGCAGTAGAACCCCTGTGTCACTGGAGCTGGAGTTGGGAGCCCACTCTTCCCAGAGTGACACCCTGGGCGGGAGGGGTGGTGGCAGCCCCTGGTCTACTTGACTTAGCCCTCCTGCCATGAAACCACTACCCTAGAAACCACCCTGTACCTGGGTGGGAGCAATCAGGGCCCAGTATTCACAGCTGGCTGGGCCTGGACTGGAGCTTCCACCAAATGAGTGGGGACCGGGTAGAGGAAAGGAGATCAGTCCTCTGTGTTGCCTGCCAGGAGTAGACCTTCTGCACTTGTGGGCAGCCTGACCCTTCCAGGGTGAAATAGGCCCAGATTGGGAGCTGGAGGGAAAGGGAGCCCCTGTCTTCTCGTCTGCAACACTGAGCGGGTGGGGTGGGGAGTGGTGGATCAGATCTCACCCCAAATGTCAGACCGTTGCCTGTTCTGGAGATTTAGTAGATTTTCTTGAATAAATATTTCTCTATTTGCTAGATGATCTTAAGACAATTTCCAGAGACATTAAATGTTGTTGTTCTTTTAAATAATGCCCACCAGTTAAAATGCAGTTTTGCTGGGGAGGGGCCCACTGCACTCCTTACTCTGTCATTCCAAAAGTTCCACCCTGTTTGTAAGCTTTCAGTATCCAGTTTTGGACCTTCGTCCTGTAAGAGACAAGGAAGTTTGCATTACAACTATGATTTCCTCGAGGTGTTATGTTTCTCCTAACAAAATAAATTATATTCTGTTTATTTTAATAAGCTCATCAGAAAGGTTGTAACCAGTCTGGAAGGTGGCATTATTTTTCTCCCATAGACAAGGATTTTGCTTTTAAGCCCATCTTGTACCCGGCCTTTCAATTTGATGATCCAGATTGATTGCTCCCAGGCTCCATAAATACTCCGGTTGGAATAGCTAGCATCGTAGACAGGTTCCACCAGCATACCCATTGCACTGGAAAATTTACAAAACCCCCTTCCAATTTATACTAGCCTTTTTGTCCTCAGCCTGAAGTGCAGGAAGTATCATCGTCTGCCAATTAAAAACCGGAAAAGCGAGGCCGATTATGGTGTTGTGGCTGATCTAATTCATTCCACTGACATTCATTCACTGCCTTTTCCCTGGTGGACACCTGGCGCACACTCCTTTTGTTGCCTGTAAATGTATTCTATCCTAGATCCATTATCACTCTGGTTACAGTATTTTAAAGTTATTCGTTGAAGCTTGACTTAACTCTTTGAGCCTAATTATACAGAACAGCCATTCCTTTCGAGGATGAACTTGTAGAAAACCATGAGTCAGTCTTAGGAGCTGAGTCTGAGTCTTTGGAAAGAAAGCCGTAGCATCTGTGAAGCAAAGCAGTCACATTCAGCTTTGGCCCCAGAGGAGAGAAGGAACAACTGTCCATGTAGGAAAATGAGGCAGGGGACCAACAACTTAGGGAAGAGCTGACGGTCCAGAGGCCTCGGGTGTTTCTAGAATCTTCTTTGAACTGCCAGCTCCATGATTCTAGACAACATAATTGTATCTTCTCTGCTTCGGTTTTTTTCCCTAAAGTTAATTGGAGAATGACTTCTCCTGTGCTTTGGGTTGTACAGGAAAAAATTAGTGTAAACTGCCAAGGAATTTTATAAAATTTGAAGCGCTTCAGGGCAGTGGGGGCTGTCTGTGGTGCTGCCCTCTCCACGTAGGGATGAATATGAGATGAGTCTGTCCTACCCATCTCCCCCTGCGAGAGCTGCTTATGACAGGAAGCTCTGAAAGGACTTTTGTGAAACACGTCCACTTGTAACCTGGCTCACGGCTTGGTCTTGGGAACAGTGTGACGTAGCAAAACACACATGTTGCATGTATGCTGTGTAAACGGGGCTTTCCTATTTCCCATTCCCTTTTCTCCTAGATGGAACTCATAAGCCACATATTTATCTTAACTATTTCCTTGAATCTCATCCTTCCAAATTTTTCTGGTTATTTTCAGAAGAAAAAAAAATTTGTCAATCTCGCTTTCTTTGTCTCTCAGAGTAAAATGAGCAAATTATGTGAACAATAAATAATAGAAGGAAGAGCAGGTGTTGTGAATAGTTAACCTACACAACTGATCTTAAATTTTAAATCATTGCCTTTTTTATTGGGTTAAAATAGATAAGGTAAATAGTGGGCCCCAAATCTGCAGCTCTTGTTCCTAGGGTGTTCTGGTTTTCATTTCTTAGTGGCCAATCCACTTTAAAACATGAAGGAAAAATCCCGAACATAATCACAGAGCATCCCTTGGAGAGAGTTTCCGAACGTGAATGAGAAAATAACAAGCCCCATTCCGTGAGCTCAGGTACTGTGCCTGGTGCTTCACTGCAGTACCGAGCATCACCTCCCCCAGCAGCCCCGGGAGGAAGGAGCCTTTCATCTAGGTTCTGTGAGGAGGAAGCTGTGGCCTTAGCAAGGCCATGGAAACTTATCCCAGGTTACACCACTCCTGTACACTTTAAACAATGAAATTTAAAGCAGATATTTTCCAGATTACCCAAGTATAATACATATTCTTTGTTAAAAAAAAAAACACAGAGATATAGAAAAACCACATTTTTAACAAATCAGCAGAAACCATATAAGTTTATATGTGTGTATATGATGAAACACACACACACACACACACACACACACACACACACACACACACACACAGAGCAAAGCCTGACAGTTGCACAGTAAGCAAACAGTATTGATTAACCCTGGCGAAGGAAGGTGAGAGGTGCCAGGAATGGAAGTGATAGTCAGAAAGAGTCTTCAGCTTTATCTTATATGTTCTGGTTTTTTGCAAGGAGAGATTTTCATGTGTTAGCTGTGCAAATTTAAATTAATAATTTAAAAACCCTTAAAGAATGAGGACAGAAGCCGCATTCCAGGTAAAGTTGAACCTTCTTTGACTAACTTCTTTGCTCCTTTTCTGATGACCTCTTCTGCATCACAGTCTCCACCCAAGAATGTTTAAAACTTTTCAAAGATAATGTGTACATAATATAGGCAAGATTATAAAGTCATTGATAAGGAAGTATAAGGTAGTATTCTGTGGTGCTTACATGGACAGACCCTGGATCCAGACTGCCTGGCTTTGAATCCTGGCTTCCCTGTTGTGTGACCTCCTCATTTATAAATTTGAGGTATTAATAGTACATATCTTAAAGGGTTGTTGTGAGGCCCAGATGACTTATTATTTGTGCAGTACTGAGGACAGTACCTGGCACGTAGTAAGAGCCCTATAAGGATTACTATTATTATGATCCTAATATTCAGGAAAAACTATGATAAATGTTTATGTATCCATCCAGACTTTTTCTGTGTGTATGTACATATGCGTATACCCACATCTGTATTTCATATGGGTAAATATAGCTGTATTTTTTATTAAAATCAGATCATACTATTTCTGTTTATCGTAACATTCTTTGTACTCAACACTGTATGTTATAAACATCTTTCTGTGCCACTAAATGAAATATGAATACTTTATTTATTTGGCCACACTGAGCGGCTTGCAGGATCTTAGTTCCCCAACGAGGGATTGAACCCAGGCCCCGGCAGTGAAAGCGCTGAGTCCTAACCCCTGGGCCGCCAGGGAATTCCCGAAATATTAATATTTAAAACAAAAATCAGTTGTATTTGGTCTTAACTAGTTGTGATAGTGGATCCTTTTGACCAAATACGTGAACATTTGATAAGTCAGAAATTTCTTGGCATTAAACTGAGAATCTGGAGTGCTCATAGGTGTTGATACAGCTTACTTAAGTGGTTTGCGTGGACATTGGTATATCCACCTAAGTGTCCGATTGTTTGTCTTGTTTGTTAAGTGTGAGGGTAATCAACATTTTTTAAAATAAAGACCAGATTTTTTAATCAGATCGTGGACAGTTTAAACAAAAAATTAAGTTTGTGGTTTATTTCATAATCCCAAACTGAATCTTTCCTTTTTCTTTCTAAACAGTCCACTATGGAATTTTTCTTATAAGCAATTAACCCAAAACACCCAAATCATTTCTGTAGCAGTTGCTGCTAAAAAACTGGAATGTTAAGGCCCATGTCCAAGATAGATGTGCAGATGTGATAATTTTACATTTTAAAATGTTTATCTTCAGAGCTAGTATGCAAGATAGAATGCTATTTGTCAACCTCACTGTTGGAGCACAGCTCTTTGTGAGAAGAAAAATGATATGTGAAAAGCACTCTGGTTGTTAAAAGAACAATTTCTTCCTCTCCCTCTTCCCGGCACTTCAGGAGATGTTTCACAGAACAGAAGAATTCTTATCCAAGACTGCAAACAGCGAGACAGATGAGATGGACACGTCGGACACGCAGTGGGGCTGGTTTTACCTGGCAGAGTGCGGGAAGTGGCACATGTTTCAGGTAGCGCCCCTCGGGCGGAGCAGGCGGGGTTTAGACTCACCGAGCACCGTTGTGCCGGTGTGAAAAGGGAGTCCGGGCGGCACCCGAAAGAAATCAAACCTCAGGGAAGTCAGAGGGTGGAACGAAAAGAAAAATCAGAAATTCTTCTGGTCCTTTTCCTTTCCCCAGGTTTTCACAGTGTTTACTTAGAAGAAACGGTGTGTGTTTTCTGTGTGGCCAGAGTGCAAGCGTGACTGAGGGGTACGTGGTCTCGGCACATGGGAGCAAGGCCAGGCCTGCTTTGGTGGACAAAGGGAAGGGGAAGCGACCGAGCCGGTCTTAAACGCCTCTGTGCTCCTGGTGTTAGGTTAGGGGGTGTAGAGGTATCTTCTCCTCCAGCCTCACAGCAGCCCGAAAGCAGATGCTAGCACTCTGTCTTACAGCCGAAGACAGTGCGACTCGGAAAAGTTACTTTAATTGGTCTTGAGTCACACAGCTCATTAACGGTTAAGCTGAGACCTAAACCCATACTCAAGAGCTTGTGGACTTTTTTTTTTTGCTTACGAGGCTACTTAAAGAAGATTTGATTTGAGCCACTTAAGATGTGTAATTTTGGCAATAATTTGGAAACACTGTAATACTTTGGAAAAAGTCCTTATAACCCGTTATCCAAGTTTCTTCGCTGGAAATTCTTAAGCTATTTTCCATATGCTGTCTTAGCTGTGATTCTCCCCGTGTGTTGGGAACTAGAACAGGTGATTAGTAAGTTTCCTCTGTCCCTCCGCTCCCTGTCTCCGTCCCCCATTACTGCCTTTGTGGCCAAGCCATTCCTATGAACAGCTGGTAAATGAACTTTCTGGTTTGTCTTAAAGCCGGATACCAACATTCAGTGTTCAGTTAGCAGTGAAGAGATCGAAAAAAGCTTCAAAACAAACCCTTGTGGCTCCATTTCTTTTACTACTTCCAAATTCAGCTACAAGATAGACTTTGCAGGTATGTTTTTTTCCCTAATAGTCGTGTGTTCTTAGTATGTTGATATGGTGAAATCTGCAGTTCTGAAAATCAGGATTAGTTGACATACTTGCAAACAACAGAGTAAATCCTTTTTGTAACACATAAAAATACCTGTACAAAAATTCAAGATTTAAAATCTTTTTGAGCAACATTGCCTTTTATAAAGGTTATTTATATGCTTATAGATGCTAACATATATGGAGACTGTCATGTATTTTCCTGTAATGCTCCTCTTCTAAGGAACACAAAACACCTCTAAGCCATTGTTTTATTCATCATCCTCTCGGCTTTTTGAAACAGGTAGGATCAGTCAGATATTTTAAGGATCAGTCAGAGAGGTTACACGACAGGGTCATAGGTAGCTGGATTGAGTTTTAAGACCAAAGTTCAGCTGAATGACCCATCTCTTGGTGTCTTTCCTAGGAGACTACTACTCTTCAGTGGACGTTGCCTCCTGCCACTTTCTGATTTTGTTGGCTCTTTCACAGATTAACCAGCTAATCTGGAAATCAGCCCCGCTTTATATTTCATCCATGATACACGGGCATGTTTTTAGGAACCCCGTGAGAAACCTGTTGGACTCACCCTGCAGTTTCAAGCTGCCAGCCTCAGCTGTTTACTGCTTAGAGGCAAGCAGAACCTGGAGGGGGAGGCTTTCTTAACAAAAGCGCCTTTGGGCTGCCACACAGCTCAGGCCTCTAGATGTTCTTTCCTATTTTCTGTGAGTAGAGTCCTTCTGACAGAGGCAGTGCTATACTGTGGTGAGGGAGGGTGTTGAAACCCTGGCAGATCCCCTTGGAGGGTCCAAGGCCCAGTCATGCTGGAGGAGATTTGTCCACGAAGACACTGATGGAATCAGACCTCTAACGACTGTTGTGCCCCCAGAGTTAGTGTTTTTTTTTAATCAAGGGTTAAAGCCATTAGATTCTTACTCCTGACTAAGCATAACATATTTTACGACATTAGGCAAATAGGCTGCCTTTAAGGGGGTCCGACATTTGTCTTAGACAGAAGGTGTCAGCAGACACTTCAGTCCCGTGTACACCTGTCGGTGTTGAAGCCATACTGAGACATCACAATGTGCAGACATCAAGCTTCATGTAGAGCACGGAGTTTGTCAGAGCTTTTGGTAGGTAGCCCAGCAAGCCGCATTTTCTGAAAGAATATTTTCTAGTAAGCTGTATTTTTTGGAAGTTTTCTCTCAGACGGTGCAGTTTATTTAAGTCTTTATCAAAGAATAGGAGTCACATATGATAGCGCCAGCTCCCGCTCCTCTCTGTGATGACACTGTTTCAGAGGCACAGGTACTAGCATTCCCCGTGTACCACTTGTAAAGTTAGCCCCCATGGTTCTGCCACAAGCCAGCTCGGCTTCTCTCTAAAAATGGTGAAAAGCAGACTCAATACGAGGTAGTGTGAGAAGAACGCTGCACAGGCGTCACTGCATGTGCTGGGATGACCTTTCTTTTTCCCTGCGCGGTGGTCACGCCAGTGTGTGCAGAGCCTAGGAGAATACGGGAAGGGCAAACACACCTCACACAGCATTGGCCTGGATGGGCGAACCCCTTTATCTTGGAGTGGAATGATGCCAGTTAGACAAGGCAGACTGACGAGAATCTCACATTAAGACTTAGCACCTAACTTTGTGGGAATGAAGAGGGGGACCTAGTAAATATTGCCACAGCTGAGGAACAGAGGAAAGAAGAAAATGATACTTTAGTTAGTTCATTAGTCTTTCATCACTAGAATCTTTCATTTAAGTCCGTGTTGAGTCTAGCTAGGTTTTCTATTTTTTTGGTTTAGGTGTACAATTTAAAGAGAAGGCAAGAAATGTACAAATTTTTGAAACTGTGAATTGTACATGTTTTACCATGGTAATGTATCTTTTTTATCATTTCCAAAATTTTTGGAGAAATCAAAGTAACACTTTTCACTTAAGAAGCCGACCAGAAGATTCAGTACTGTAATTTCTTTCTCTTTCTAGTACTGTTAATTTTCCTAAGTTGAGAACTCTCCTGTTTTCAAGTCAGTTTAACCCAAGTATGGTACAGAAAGGGATAGGCCTTACATACTGAGCCGTGTATGAGGTTAGCTTCCTCCTGTGTGAGCTTAGATCAAGCAATGAAGCTGCTTTTTATGCCATGATAAACAGATATTGGTCAGGTATCCCTAATATACTGTGCTTAGTAGCTACTCCCAAAGCTCCATGATTCCCTGACCATCATGTAGTGTGGCTAGAAATTTTCATGGCAATTTATAGCACAGTGTGTTTCTGTGACTTATCTAACATCTTTGTCTTTTTGCACAGAAATGAAGCAGATGAATCTCACCACTGGAAAACAGCGCTTAATAAAAAGAGCCCCTTTTTCTATCAGTGCTTTCAGGTATTGTGGAGAGAATGGGGTGGAAAGCAAGAGTGGGCTTTTTCTCTCTCTTGTCTTCCTTAATATCTAACAGAGGAACAAATAAACTGAAAATGTTTTGGTAGGTTATTTAATCATCTTAATATTGATCTTTTCTGTACTGAATTTCACACTCATTGATGCAGGAGCAGTGTTGTTATTTTCTGCTGGCATCGCCTTTCCCCTTATATAGTTGTATTTTTCAATTCTTTAGAGCGCTTTGCATGGTAGTTACAAAATGCTTTATGCTGTCTGCTATAAATCCTTAACATAACCTACTGAGGTAAGTTTTAGTTAGCTTGGAAAGACTCTCACAGGACCATCCAGTTATTTGGGCCATAAATCCTAGGTAATTACCCACTTTGTCTTCACCTGCACTGAGCCCCATTGGGCAACTCCTAGAAATAATTTCAAATCTGTAGTGACTAAAGGGGACCTGGGAAGATGGGGGTACATGGGACAAGGGCACAGCCTCCTGCCCCCTGGATCTGGGTGGCGAGTTTTCCTTTTTCTGTCTCCTGCCGTCTATAGCCTGAAAAGAGAGTATAAATGCCAGGAGAGAATAAATATTTGTTATTCACATGAATGGAGTTGAAGGGCATGTCTCCTGTTTTCTGGAACGATTCCTCAATCAAGTATTGAAATTCCTGTTGTTCAAAGAATTTAAAATGAAACAGAAACAATGCTAGCATGTGAATTGTAGGAGATGCCCATTTGTTCCTTTCAAGGAGATATTTTGAAAGGGTTAAAGATAGAAATTTTTAAAGTTTCTGTCAGTTAGCTTCTTGAGACTTTTGGCTTACATTTTAGGGTCATGATTTCAAAGTTACTCAAGTACTTATATAATAAATGCTCTTGTACTTCTGTGGAAGGGAGAGAATCTCACTTCCTCACCAGCTGCATCACATCCTCATTCTTGAGTGTAAGGGTTTTAACAGAGGAATTACTTATCTTCAAAGGGTATGGCATCTGGGAGGAAAATGAGACATAATAATGGAAAACTGTTACTGTAACTGTGTGTTGTTATATCTGGTACCCTTTGGTGGGGAGAAGCACATAACGGGATCAAGCACTTTGCTCTGTCACAGACTCTACAAGCCATAGAACAGAGATAGGAGAGGGAGAGAATTAACAACAACAGAGGACAGAAAGCAAGATAATAAAAGAGGAAGAACAGTTAGGTAGGATACAGCAGAGTGATGAAGATGAGGAGGTATTGATATACAAATGTTTATTTATTACAGGAATACATTGAGCATTTTTTGACATGCAAAGTGAATAGTACATTTCCTATTGACAAGGAATTTATAATCAACTAAGGCTACAGACATGAAACAAACAAACAAAAATATTTTCCATAGCTAAAAGACACACCAGGCAAAGTAAAAATACAAAAAAAAACAAAGAAAACCTGGGAAAGGTATTTGTTACTGGGTATCACAGTCAAAGGGTTCACGTGTATAGTATCTGAAGTACCTTTCGGAATCTCTAAGTAGAAGACCGGCAACCCCTTAGAAGGACGAGAACAGAAGAATTCTTAGAAGAATCTGAACAGTTCATGCAACCTCACTCGTAATAAGAGAAACACAAATTATACCAGATGATTTCTTACCATCAGATTGACAACACACTCCTTTGGAGAGGTTGTTGGCAAAGAGGCATTCTCTGCACTTCTGGGGGAATGTCAATGAGTATAGCCTTCGAGGAGGGCACTTTGGCAGTTTCTGTCAAAATCTGGAATAAATATATTCTTTGACTCAGAAATGCCATTTCAAAGATGTTATCCTAAAAATTGACACGCGGCCATGTACAATGACAAAGGGACAGACTTGTTCTTTGCAGCATCCTTAACAGTAGCAAAGAGCTGAAAAAGGCTAAATGTCATCAGTAGGGGACTTGTAATCAGTAGGGGTGTGTCCATGCAACAGTGTCTGCCCTGTGCCAGGCTCTGTGCTAGGATGCTCTCTTACCTACCGGTATGCAAGGATCTCTAAGAACATAGTCAGTGAAAAAAAAGAGCAGCTGCAAAAGACACATGATTATGCTACCATTCGTGTGTGCCAAAAAAAAAAAAAAAAACGCTTGTGTTAACCTAGAGAAGTTCTGGAAGAATACCCAAGAGACTAAAAGCAGTGATTACTTGGAATGGAGGCAAGAGGTGAGAAGTGAGAAGAGCAGGAGGTGAGAAGACCAAGGACTGGAGTGGGAGGGAAACCATCCACCGTTCACTTTTTTATACCTATTCATCTTTAAGTCATATGATTGTGTGATCTTCCCAAAGTTAAAATGAGTTAAAAAATACGCTAAAGATAGGCTTGAAATGTATGAATGTCTTCCATAACCTGCAGTCACCCGAAAGGATTCATATCAATATCAGTCACAGCCTTTTGCCGTCCAGCTCGCCAGGATCATTGTCTTTTTCTGTGTTCACATCCAGTGGCTTACACATGGTGGATAACTTTACTGGCTTCTGTGCTGAGTGAGTTCATGCGGACCGTGCCGGGGGATAGTGGACAATGAAGAGAGAAAGGTTTAGGTTTGAGTTAGATCTTGAAGGATGTTGAACGTGCAGCCGAGGGTCTTGGATGGTATTTAATAGGCAGTATACATCTGTTAAAGAGGTTTGTTTTTTTAATCAATTTTTGATTTTCTTCTTGGAAATTCCTTTTCTTCACCTAAAATCTTCCTACATTTAAAAGAAATTCTGAAAAAATAAGAAAACCAAGACCGAATTAAACGACTATTTTTGAAATTTTAATGTTATGTAGGATTAGACGTTTCCCATCAGATTTCTTAATTCAGCCCCTAAAAAGCTGCACACAAGCGGATATTCAATAAATATTTTAAAATAAAGAAGCCAAGGACTACACTTAATTGCATTTGTTACAATAGCGCAGCATGAAAATTCAGCTTGGGAGAAAACGTCTAAGTCATTGACAGTGATTCTAATCAGCTTCTAATAATTTTGTTTTGTCTTTTCTATTTAAAGTTATATCTGTGAAAATGAGGCCATCCCCATGCCACTCCACTGGGAGAATGTGAATACCGACCTGCCCTATCAGGTGAGAGCAGCTCTGACCAGCTGCAGGTGGGAGAGATTGGAAAGGACCCCAGTAAAACTGTGCAAACTTCTCTTTCCAGCTCATTCCTTTGCACAATCAAACACACGAATACAATGAAGTTGCTAGTCTCTTTGGGAAAACAGTGGATCGCAACAGAATTAAAAGAATTCAGAGAATTCAAAACCTAGACTTGTGGGAGTTCTTTTGCAGGTGAGACAGTTTCTACTCTGAACCCCCTCCTTGGCCTCTGAGACTTTTACAGTCTCAGAGACAGTGAAGCACAGATGTTTAATCGTATTCATTGTCAGTGGGACCACCACGTGAGCTGTGTAGACGCACTGTGCGTGTTTTGACCTGGTTTTTCAGCTCTCTTCCTCATCCTCAGGGAGAGCTGCTCTGTAAGCCAGCACCAGCATCCCGTGCAACATTGTGTGACAGCCTCTTCTGCACTGCTTTCAGAGTTTCGAGCTGGGCATCGTGGCTGAGTCAGCATTACCAGGGGGTCTGGGGAGCTGTTTAGTTCTGTTACTATGACTTTGTTGGCTCAGACTTCCCAGCCTGTAAGTCATTTGCTTGTTTTTAGTTTTGAAGGACACTGTAAAACGTACCTTCAAATTCCCTGCTCAGCCCAGAGTTTATGTTCTAGATTTGAAATCTCCATTCATTACTCAATTTAGGTTGGAAATGACCCATTGGGTTGCTTGGTGTGCACTTAACCTAAAAATAAAGCCCATTACAAGAAACTTCACAGGCATTGTCCACATGAACACACTGTGCTGTATTTTTTTGAATAACATTATAATATAATATAATGTAATAACAGTAATAAGCATTACTTAAAATAAGTAATTTTCTGAAATACTTTTATTAAATCTGTGTTCAAGGTTTGATTTCTAATGTTTTTTAATACAAGCATTTAACCTTTAGTCAGGAAAATTTCAAATAATAGAGTCTAATGTCATGAACCCTGTGTGTCCATCATCCTGATTTAACATTTATCTAGATTTACCATCATAATCTATCTCCTCTTTTGCTATGTTATTGTTGTTGCTGAAGTGTTTTAGAGCAAATCCCAGGCCTTAACTCATTTCATTCTCATATACTTGAAAATCAGGCTGACTTTTGTTTGGTGATAATTTGCGGAATTCTTTCATGCTTCTGATAGGTCAGTTCCTACAGCCTGAGTAAACTCCAGGTTTTATTCTCATAATAGTTTATATTATAAAATAAGGGTTTTCAGCTTGTATTCTTTGTAATTTTGAGTCTTTGGGCCCAGCCCACTTTTATTTCTGACAATACTGAGTTTAAGCGAGTTGAGCTTTATTTCTGACAATACTGAGTTTAAGTGAGTTTAGGTTTAGGTCTTGTTTAGGTGATTCTTTTGTAGAGGAGGATGGAAGCCTCCGTCTTCTTTGATCTTATTCTCTCAGTGAATAAAGTAAGTTTTCCTAAAATGTTCTGATGAAGACTTAATTCCTTCTTCTTAATCGGGCCTCTGAGGTGGAATTCCTGTCAGTCTTCCTCGTAATTTGAGACCTCAATTAATTCCTAGTGATACAAATGTTCCAGCGAATCCCCAACACATCATATACTAAGAACCTCACTGGAGATGTTTTTACTCTGTAGATGCCATTCATGATGTTATGTGAGGTCGGCCTATAGAAATCTGTGATGGGAAATGAACCTGCCACCTGCCGTGACAGCAGAAAATACTGGGTCGCATTTTAAGGACAGCCTGTCATTCTGATCTCTGCCTGAAGGACGAAAATAAACTCGTCCACCCCATTGTCATGTAACCTGTGACTCACTGTACAGGCGGGAAGCCCACATGAGTCCAGCAGATGTCAGTTTGCATGTTGTCCAGGCCTTCCTTCCTTCCTCCCTTCTTCCAGAAATACGTTCCAGAACCAGCTTTGTGCCAGGCACTGTTCTAGGCACTCGGGATGTAAGAGCGCACAGGACCAGAGCTTGGACAGAAGTAGGTTGTGTGGGGGGTGTCACGGAGCACTTCCTGAGCCAGTGTCATCTAGGCTGGATGCGGGAGGAGAGGGCAGGGCACCCCAGGCATCGGGAGCAGCCCGGGCCAGAGATCGATGACAAGAAGGAATGTAGAACATTGAGAGGATTTCACATAGGACAGAAGATAGGATGGATGGCGAGAGAAGATGCTAGAAAAGGACTCAGGAGGTAGAGCATGCAGGGGTTTGTGGGAGACCCCCTGGGTGGTCGTGTGATTTTCTCCATTAGCCTTATGAGTTGGACTGACCTGGCGTCTGGGTCAGAGGGTTGGTACAGGCCAGGCCACGCGGGGCCTTGTAAACAAACTAAGGGGTTTGGGTTTTTTCCCTGGGATAGTGGAAAGCCATTGCAGGACTTTAAGCAAGAGAGTGATTGAGCTGATGTGCATTTTAGAAAAATGGTTTATCAGGCTGCACTGTGGAGAAGGCATTTAAAGCAGTGGTTCTCAGTTAGGGGTGATTTTGCCCACCAGGGGCGTTTGGCAATGCCTGGAGCCGTTTTTGATTGTCGTGGGGTAGGATGTGGGGGGGGGTACCACTGCATCTGCGGGGTGGAGGGCAGGGATGCTAAACATCCTGCGATGCACAAGACAGGCCACACAACAAAGAGCTCCCCAGCCCAAAACAGTCAGCAGTGCTGAGGTTGAGAAACTGGTTTAAAAGGATCACAGAAGGGTGACCAACCAACTTAGGAAATTGTTTCAGTCGTTACAGATGTGACACACTGGATGGCCTGAGCCAAGGTGCTCTCGGTACCACTGCAGTGAAGAGGACTGTTCTGAGATATTAAAGATATAGAATGATATTGCCTGGTACTCGATTTAATGTGCGTGATGGGGTGGGTAGGGGAGATGGGAAAGATAGCTCCAGGGATTCAGACTTATTTGTTCTCATTGACTGAGGGAAATGGGTAGGAACAGGTTTTGGTCTGGGGAGGACGGGGCAGGGTTAGCAGTTGATACATGGGTTGGGAGCTCAAGAGAGCAGTGTAGAGAGAGATAAAGGTTTCGGAGTTACTGGAAAGTGTGGGGTCATTGAAGCCAAAGGAATTGATAAGATGACCAGGTATTTTATGTCGATTAGGAAAAGAAGGGGGTAAGGACCAAACTCTGGAAGGGATGAACAGAGGAAGAGAAAGCTCAGGGAGGAAACTGAGAAGTAACCGCATAAAGTGGAAGAAAACCCGTAGAATGTGGAGTCACAGGAGCCAAAGGAAGAACGTGGTTGACACAAGTATGTGTCATCCTCAGGGTCACATATGGCAGAGATGCCAAGAAAGATGAATGTTGAAAATGTCCTTTGGAATTTGCAGTAAAATGTCCTTGGTACCCTAGGCGAGAGCAACGTTGGTAGATGCTATGCTGTGTGTACAGCAAACGCTGACAACTCTTTCAAGGTGCTCAGCAGTGAAGAGAGTGAGAGATGTGAGAAGATGGTGATGTGGGCGTGGGAAGGGTGCTAGGTTTTGTTTTTCAAATTTAAAGATGGGAGAGACCTGAGGATATTTACATTATTATAGGAAAGAACCTCTGCAGAGGGAGAGTTTAAAAGACAGCAGAGGGCCCCCCTGGTGGTGCGGTGGTTGAG